TTTTAACTACTCAAATATCCAATAGAACGTAATTCAAAACAGCTAAAGAACGCTAATCCGCGAATTCGCTACAATCAACAAGAGCACTTTTTTAAACAACAACAAACTAAGCAAGCAACTACAAACTGAGATGTTTTCCTCCTTTTATAAGATTTTAAAATCACGCGCTAGAATTTTCCAGTACTTTCTCGAAATCAAAAAGAGATATTTATTTATTTAACGCACGCGCTCTTGTATTTTTTAATTTTTCCGGCTTAGCTTTCTTTTAATATTCGTCACGCGCTGCACTGCGCGAGAAATAAAACCATTTAATTTATAATTGAACTAACATTAGCTTTTTAAATAGCAAATTCGTAACAATATTTTCTTCTCCGTAATTCAGTCGCGAATAAACGCACTTGAGACTTGAAATAAGAACCTAAGAACATGAGAACCTAAAACACACAATACATTCAAAATGAGAAAGGAAAATAATAGAAGTTAAAAACTTACTTAATTATACAGTACGTTCTAAATGAGGAAATAAAATAACAGTCATAAAAAACTTACTAAATTATGTGATGCAAATCTTATTTATTGCAACAACTTAAACTATTATGGCACTTTAGGACCTCTCTTTTCGACTTTCACCGGAGCATATCTGTGACTGCCAACATACACCGGTGAGGGTCCGAATATACAAGAATGCAGTGCAATATTCAATCTTTCACCGACGTATTTCGTGAATGTTGACATTCTCCGGTGAAAGTCGACATTCTCCAATTTCGGTCTTTCACGGTAACATATATATTTAAAGATAAATAATATCAGTAAAATCTAAAAAATAAATCAGTGTATTTTAGTATTTAAGAAACATTAATCTTGAATCAGTTTTCTATACATTATTTTTGTATTTTCAAGTAGCGCAGATGCATATGCAATGAAAAATGGTAAAATTTGCATTTCGATCAAAATATATGTTTCTTCTATACCTTTCACACACTAAAATTCCACGCATTTCATGGAATCAAAAGTGTCTCGTCCTCTATTTAAAAACATTCCAGCCATTGTAAATCGTTTCACCTTATGGTATAAAATGTATTTTATCCTCTTTTTCTTAATTTATGAAATAATAATGTCTTTTTCTTTGGGAATATAAAAACGTTGCATTCTGAGCCCATGTGTCATCATTGCACACATCAAAATAATATGAAATTTCAAATATTAAATTGATTGTTGTGATGTTTATAAAATTCTAAATTGTTTCTAAATTTTGTTTAAAACTAACAACGTAATGTTTAAAAGCACAGGCGAAACGAATTCTGCGAAAGAATAGCAGCAAATTCTAGAAACATTGCATGACCACACCAACGCCTTGTCCACTATGTTCAGAGATCCTTCCATTCACCATTCCTTCCATTCACTGTGTCTGCCTCGCATGGGATAATACTAAAATTTGCCTACAAAATGCAACTTAAAATCATAAAAATTACATTTTTCTATCTGTAAAGTACAACTAAAGGTTAGATCATTATTACATACTTTTTAGAGAAATTACATATTACTTAGAATCTAAGCAAACCGTTTAGTGACTTGTGTGCACGTGGAATGTATATGTGCACGTGGAAGATTTTTAAAAAGTACTTCAGAATGTTCTATACTATAATGGATATCGTGTTCTCATAGCTTTGTAAAACTTCGGATTAATAATTCTTTTTCAAAATAGCAATATATGAATGCCTGTATCTCACCAATCATGAGAAGAAATGATCATATGTGAACATGTTTCACCTGAATTTAATTTTAAAAATTGTTTATTTATGCTAGTTTTTTGCAGTATTATTCAATTAACGTAGTTAAATTTAAATAGCTTCGTTATTACTCTCTAAACTTAGACAATATACTCATTTATAAAAAATCTGATGTGTACACCGCATGACTTCCTTGTACGGAATATTAAATTATACGCATTTTTTCTTGAATTTCATTTAAATTGATTGGATTGATATAAATCTACTTCGTCGACAGCTCCTAAACCACAATAGAATAAATGCACTCTTTAAAATTCACTATATTTGTTTACTATGATGACACTCTGAGTGCACAAAATTTATATCATTTGAAGAATTATCGTTTCCACATGTTCCATTCAAATACTATAATAAAGCTAAAACGATGTATGAAAGAAATTAAGCAAACAAAACAGAAAAGAAACAGTTTTTCACAGACTATTTAGTATTTCTCATTCAATTAATTCAGTTCTCACTTCGCGACAAGGCAAAAATACATAAAAACTCAAAATATCTGTATTAAAAATTACGAAGTAAATCTTAAACACTTATTTCCTCGAAAAAATTCCAGAAAAGATTAAGCATCATTTAATTCGCAATAATAAATGAAGGCGTTATTTTTGTGTTGCGAAGCTTAGTCTCTCTAGATTGGCAACAAATCTACAATTCTGCTGTTTCATATGTAAACAAATATGTCCGCCATGTTATTTAAAAGTTAACCGCACTTAAACAGCTTTTAAATTGTTGATAATTGTACAAATATTGCTTCCAGAATTATGAAAGGCATAAAAAACCTTAACCGGAAAATAAAACAACATAATTCAATCATTTTTAAAGCAAAAAATGTACAATTTACAAACATATAAGATTAAAGAAAACTGAGATCACTGAGCCGGGTAACAGAGTGGATATATATATATAAATATATTTATATACGTTTAGTGCGGCCGATTGCAACCAAAATACGAGATGCACATCTACATCTTATAGCTGTCTTATATAAAAAATTTCAACATTCTGAGACTACTCGTTTTTGAGTTATGTGAGATACGTACATACGTTCGTACAGACGCCACGAAAAATTCTCTTCAGAATTAATTTTAAAGCAGTTTTACAATTTTTTTTGGAGGAAAAGTGTCTCTTATTCTATCATTTTCGTTGAAAAATATGTTGCCTGAAACTTTTCTCGATTACGATACTTCCTTTTTACTTCGTACAAGGTAGTAAAAAGAGCAATTTCTTTAAAGCTGAGAAATTACAATAATTTATAGCTATCTTCAATCAACCTCATGTATATTCACCCGGCTCATTCCCTTGTCACTGTTTTGAAATTTAAAAACAAAAGCTCTCCTTTCTGTAAAATCTGAAGTATAATCACATCAAGGAAGCTTTTCTCTCACATCAAGGAAGCTCTTCATCAAGGAAGCTTCTTCTTTTTTGCAATATTTATCTGACAGAGAAGTCGCATTATACCATAATTTTGATTCTTTACCAATATTGGATTTATTATATCAGTTCCTTTCACCAAAAATTTTGCAATTTTTATCAAAATAATAAAGTTATGGAGCTTCATGTCTCCATCAGTCATATTAGTGGTTTTAAGAAATAGATCAAATAACACGTAATTTAGTTTAACAGATGTACGTTCTTTGTATAAAATGCACTGAAAAACTTAATACGTTTTAAATTATTAATAACTCCAGACTGAATATTATAGTGGTATATTGGATAGTATAGACAGTAACCAAAAACACAGGTATATCAAAATTATATCATAAAGTAAAAAGTTTTCACAACAGCGCGTAATTAACTAAGTTTTATGAGCATTAAAATTACAGAAAACTTTATAACTCTTTTTTACAACTTCTGAATTCGTTTAACTGCAAAATTTTAAGCAATGTGCGTTTGTCATTTATAGAAATTTCTCTTAAAATGTTCTTCATTTCGATAAAATATTCTGTATAAATAAATGGAAGATGTATTCCTAAAAGTCACTTTATGACAAGATATTAAAGGGAAGAAACAGAATTAGTAGTAGCCATTTTCCCAAAATACTGGATATGTTCATAAATGAAATTGTTATTGACATTTTAAACGAGCGGAACTTAGAACTGCTCGCGAAGATACCTCATCGAGCGCACGGCCAAAGTAGCAATGAGTATTTAGTTTTTTAAAGCATAACATTATATGTCAATATTTATGTTTCAGAAAGTAATTACATGTTGTATAATTTGGTTTGTTTGGGGAGCATAGGATAAATTCCAAAGTCCTAACAGCCGTTAATCGAATTATCGCAGTTTTTGAAATTAACTACAAAGTCTTGGAAAGGTTTGAAATAAACTTTTTTATTTAAACACAAACTTTGAACTCAAATGCACTTCTTATGCTAACAGAATCAACCACCATTTGTAGCGATGTAATTAAAGTAAAACTCAAACTTATATTTAAAACGTAGACTAATAGTCAAAGAATACACACGATTCAATTTAAATCTGAGCTGGCTCAAGAACTCTAACCGATGTACCAGATTCAGATGTCGGCAACAAAACGTAAAGTCGAATAATTACAACTTATCATAGCTGGCTCAAGAACTCTAACCGGTGCACCAGATTCAGATGTCAGCAACAAGACGTAAAGTCGAATAATTACAACTTATCACAGCTGGCTCAAGTACTCTAACCGGTGCACCAGATTCAGATGTCGGCAGCAAAACGTAAAGTCGAATAATTACAACTTATCACAGCTGGCAAAATCTGCGTAACTTGGGAGCGAGAGGCAGAAAGACGCCCTATTTTACAATTCAAAAACCTCAGCTTCAATAATACTTCCTGACTCATTCTGATTTTTTTTTTTTTTTTTTTTTTTTTTTAAGAAATAGATCTTGGAAAAAATATGATAGTTAAAGCCGATTTTTTGTAACGAAAACAAATATTAACCAAATAAAATGAATAAAGATATTATGTACTTGCATACTTACATTATTAAATATTAACAAGTTATAGAGTATTTATTCACGTACGATATTTCTGCTATTGCATTAGACAACTGACCAAATGAATAAGTTAAATATGCCAAGTTTCAATTTTTTTCATTTAGGAAACCAAATCTGAGTTCCTGAGCTATAAAATTTACTTGTATCAGTTATTGTGGACACTCAGTTTGCTTAAAATTTTAATCAGCGAATCATTTTCTTCCAACACTTACTTCTTTCTTCTTTTGCTTCTTTTGCAGCACTTAAATAGTCTATTGGAGCACTATCTGGAGCCGATGAAGAAAGAAACCTTCCTATCGAATGCTGAAATTAATGCACTTTTCGGAAACATACAAGAAATTGTGCAGTTCCAAAGAGTGTTTCTCCAGAGCTTAGAAGAGGCGATTTCTGCGGAACCGGATTTCGCTAAATTCGAGCTTCCTTCCCAATTCAAGGTAAAACTTCTGCCTTTTTACAGATGCGTTTACTGAATAATAAGGCCAATGGCAAACAAAACACACAAATAGTAAAACAGTTTTAGAAATTTAATCTGCAATTTTGCCTGTTCGAGCCAGAGACCCAAGCAAGTTTCTTAAACTGCCCTTTGAATCTTTAAATGTGGCATCTCTTTCTTCAGTTGTATGTTCAATACTTTAAATAAACTTCAACTAAAACGTTAAGTATTCTATCAATCCATAAATAATGCAATTACTTTATATTTCTTTCTTGTTGGAAAAACTAATCTAAAAGTCATTTTTAATCTAAAATATATTATCTTTCATTCTATGCTAGACCTTAATAGTTACGATGGGATTTTGTTCGAGCAGGGTTTACAGGATCTTCTCATGGAGCTCTATGGATCTTCTAGAAAAATGATCGTTTTCTAGGGTGCAGATTCCTGCTTGAAATTTCTCAATACACCATTGGCAATGACTTACCCTTATTGTCCGTTGCCTTGAAAGAAAACATAATTGTCAAAATCGAACTACACGCTTCAAACCTTGCACTTGAGCTAAGAACAGGGCCACATTACTACCTTCTTCTGTAGAAATTTCATGCAGGTAGTTTATCTCATTCCCCTCCGCATTTTAGTTCATTTGAGCAGTCCACATTATTTATGAGATAGCCCCATATATGTAAGTTGGAAACATCTATTTAGGTTCAAAAAACGCACGTATATATTTTTATTGTGTCAATTTAGTTGAATGTTTCCCTTTTCAAATTAGTTTTGTTTTATTTTGTATCTATCAAAATACAAGTAACAAAGAGTCTTATTAAAAGAGTGATAAAAGCAGAAGAAGCGGTATTAAAATTTTTTGGTATGCAAACAAGGTTACATTTTCTCTCTAAAACTTTGTTGGTCCGAATGGTCAGACACTTGCAACTTAATGCTTTTATAGAGAATAGCCAATACCTATTGATCACTTAGCCGTATCATCATCGAGAACGTTATCAAGACTGCACCACAGAGAACGATGAATTATACCCGTGAGAAAGTGGAATATCCGTTCCAAATTTGGAGAACATCCCGAGGGTGTCCCATCACTCTTTCTCTGCCATCAGGTTTCTCGAGATGACTTCCAGCTCACCAGTATTTTCACTGCTGCCATGCCACACAGTCACTGTACACTTACAAGCATCCAAGCCTGTATCGCTAACCGTTATATCGATTAAGTCGGCTTCTCTCTAAAACCTAAATTATATTTATTTTAATTTATTATAGTTTAAAATGTTTTAAAAAGTTATTTTAATCGATTATGGCAAACTCAAATTTATTCTCTTTTATCCACTCTGCTGTTACCTCATTTCTCTTAATTTTTCACAGATAACATTTTATTCATGTTCTTTCCTAAAGAAGAAATGAAGGGAAATTGCAAAGAGGCACTGTGCTCAGGCAGATTTGCTTTTAAACCATTTTTCCTTCACAAGCTATTTTCTGCTATTTAGGTCACGAATAATCGCTAAATGACAGTACGTTGACAGGTGACGGAGGACGGGGGCGCCTGGTGTCTAACATAGGTAAACAGGCATATGCCCCGCGTCCTCCACTATCTAGAGGCAACAACTCCCTGGACCCCCATGAGGCCGCCCAGGAGTTCATCAGGATCTAAAAAAAAAAGTTAACATGGCCATACAAGGGCTAGACTACATGTAGTACATTGTAAGAACGTGTGACAACTGAAGGTTATGACAGAGGTAGAACAAAATAAGACATAAACATAAAACATAAATGGAAACATATAAAAAGAAACATAAAGAAACACATAAAGCGCTAAAATCACAAAAAGGTACACTAAGATACACGGAACTAAACACAATAAACACAGAATACACATAGATAAACACGATGCAGACAATTATATAATGCGGACACATAAAAACGAAACACTTGATGATGTTATGAGACGCATAACAGCACGTAATTATTTAAACAGCGCACGTGATACTGAGAAGACACTTAATAGGTGACGCATATATACGTGAAGCAATATGATGACAGTAGTTCATGAAGCAATGATAATAATAGTACGCACAAGAAAACGCGCAGATATACAAGATGAGATGTAAGCACTAAGGTACAGTATGTTGACAGGTGGAACAAAGTATTGGTAAATACCTCAGTCTGTAGAGACATTACGTTTTTTTTTTTTTTTTTTTTTTTTGAAAAGGAAAGATGAAAAATTACCTACGCCTTCGCCGGGAATCGAACCGTGGACCTCTCAATTACGAACTGAGCATGCAAACTATTACACCACGAAGGCTCGCTAAGAAGGCGGGAGAAATACCTTATATACTCCCCCTTTTAAAGGGCGACTGGAGTTTTTAGGGGACCCAATTGCCAAATCCTGGGTGAGGAGAATCATCATGGAATCGAACCGCGGTTATATGTCTGTTCTGTTCCAAAATGTTTTTTACTATCAGCTTACCGTTGGAAGGAGAAAAGGCCTCACTTTCATAACGTCAGATGCTTGAAAGTAAAAACTGGAAGGTTATACTATATTAAATGGGCTGGTCCTCAGAGGTTTGGAAACAAAATAATTCTTATAGAGACCATTTGTAAAGCTGCGAAAATTAATAAAATGTCGAATTCGAGAGAGAGTAGTTTCGATAAAAATTAACTTATATTTGAAGGTATGTATTTCTATCACAGACGAACTTAAATTTAAAAATAAATATTACTGAAAGTTTTTCTCTATCATTGTTTTAGCAGTTCGTTAAATATATCGTATGTTAATTTGATGTCTATTATTTCTTCAATTATAAGCGAAGCAAACCTCTTCTGAATAAACAATTTTTTTTTCAAATACACTGGTGTGCAAAAATTAAGGACGAAGTCGAAAAATTAGCATATCAGCTGAACGAAGAGGCAGACCGGACAAAAAAGACCAATCAGGAGATTAAGTAAGGTGATGTACGGTAGCACATGCGCAGATATGCAGGTAGACGTGATGGGGGAGTGTCTGAGTAGTATAAAGCATGTTGTCGGTGTAAGATCAGTATTTCTGGCAAAGAGATTTGCACCGCCGTTATAGCAGTTAAAATCACACCGAGTTGCTGCCTCAGCGAGAAATGGCGAATAATCAATCTGTTAGACGACATCTGGATGCTTTTACCCGAGGTCGAATCTTGGGAAGTTGGAGGAAGGCCGCAGTGTGACAAGTGTGGCTGCAGAGTTAGGAATTGCTCACAGCATCGTTTCACGACTTTGGAGACAATTTCAAACTACAGGAACAGCTATCCGGGGGTTTAGTAGTGGTCGTTCACGAGGAACCACACCCGCAGATGACCGGTATATTGCCTTACAGGCCAGAAGAAACATGCGGCAGACAGTGGGAGAAATCGCTAGACACACGACACAGGCGACTGGACGACCGATATCGCGTTTTACCGTGGCCAGAAGACTGCACGGTGGTGGTCTGTTTGCACGACGCCCTGTACGGTGTGTACCTCTATAACGCCTACCCATCGGAGAAGGCGTTTCTCTGTGGTGCCGGGAACACCGGAATTGGAGAGACAATGAATGGGGACGAGTACTCTTTACAGATGAGAGCAGATTCAGTCTGAGTAGCGATTCTCATCGCATACTCATCTGGAGAGAGCGGGGAAAGCCGCAATCATCCCTCGAACATCATTGAAAGGGACAGGTATGGAGGTGGCGGTGTTCTCGTTTGGGGAGGCATCATGCTTGGTAGTCGTACAGACCTTCACATCTTCGACGCAGGTTCAGTCAACGGGACCCGTTATTGTAACGAGATTCTTCTTCCATATGTGCGTCTTTTTAGAGGCGCTATGGTTCCGCAGTTCCTTTTCATGGACGACAATGCACCATGCCATCGCACAGTAGCTGCCGAACAGCTCTTAGAGAGTGAGGATATTGAACGTATGGATTGGCCGGCACGATCTGCGGATCTCAATCCCATCGAGCATGTATGGGATTTTCTAGGCAGACGCTTGGCAGCTCGTACCTTACCACCAGTAACGATTCCGGAGCTTCGACTGGCGCTGCAAGACGAATGGGCAGCAATGCCTCAACAACTCATTGACACCCTCATTCTCAGCATGGGCAGACGCTGTGAAACCTGCCTAGCAGTCAGGGGAGATCATATCCCCTATTAAAGACCGGATGTTTCTTGCTGGACACCCATAACAGGGATGTTTCGGCCTTCAGTCGCATTGCGCTCCATGCTGCTTTTTCAATAAAGCTTCTTTTTATCCCTCTGATTTCTCTTTTAGTAAGTGTTGCCTACATTACTCATGTCCTTACGTATTGGGGATCTTACGGTATTAAATGTGTTGATTTGGAAAGCTTTTGTACAAAGTTATATTGAGAAAACCGTCTCGTCCTTAATTTTTACACACCAGTGTATATCACTTATCTTATGAAATAAACCTTTTTTAAAAATAAATAATTTTAAACATTTTTAATGTCCATTTTCAAAACAAATTAAACTAAGTTTACCTTTGTACATATTTTAGCACTGTCTCCCTCCGGTAAATTATAAAAATTTCAAGAAGTGATTTATTCTTCTTTGCAAGAAATTTCGAAAATACTTAAAAATACTTTAACGAATTAAAATCTCATAGTGTAAAACTTAGCTTATTGTGCATATAATTAAAATTTATAAAACATTATGAAAGATTTTTGGGAAATCCCCAGAAAAGCAAGTACTTTTAGGTAGACTTTGAATAGCTTTATTTCGTAAGTTGTAAATTAACAGTATTAAAGGATTAAATTGTCAAATTGTTCGAGTCTATCTTCATATGTTTCGTTTCATTAAAAAGTCTTTTTATAATTCCCAAAAAATCTTCAAGCTTAAAACAATATTCAGTATGATTCCAAAATTTTAAACTTGCAAACATAATAGTGTTTAATTAGCTAATAACTGACATAACGAGTACCCTTTATTCTTAACTACTACTACAGATCTTGACTATAAGTTTTCCTGATAGTAGTAACAGATATTATTTTCTGTGAAGAACTTAATAACAGAAATTTGATCCATTTAAGACGTTTCGAAAATCATCTCCATAATATATTTCTTACAACACATTTTAATGTGACATCATTTCCAAAATTGATTTAAAGCTGTTTACAGAGATTTTCTGAAATATTCAATGCAAAAGAAAATGTTCCTTAATTTTTTATACAGATTTAAACTAGTATTTGCAAGTAGTAGCTACTACAGTATCGCTATTCATGCAGAATTTTAAAACATATGTTATTTTTCTCTTGAAATGAATCTGACCCATATAAATTCTTGACCATAAACAAATAAAATGTAGATTCTCACTGTCAGAAATAGCTGACATCATTTCTAAAATCACTAAATACGAATATATTTTTTCATCATTGCACGTTTTGTAGTTTCTGTAAAGCTAAAGTTTATATACATGTGATGTACCAGCTTTAGACGTAGCTTAAATTATCAGACGATAAGTTAAAAAAAAAAAAAAAAAAAAAAAAAAAAAAAAACAGGATCCATTTATTATTATTCCGGAGAAATAGCAGTTACAAAATCAGATATCCGGAGTAAATAAAAAGAATTATTAATAACTTTTTGTATGAAGTTTACTGCATCGTGACATTTAAGAAAAAGCCCCCGATATTCCTTTGCGAGTCCTTTTATAGCCTCTGGAAAGGCGGAGCTTCCAAGAAATGACGTCAGCCTCGTCAGCCAATCCAGTTCGCTTTAAATATTTCCAGAACATTCTATAACTGTAAGTGTAGAAAAGGCGGGAAAACAACTTGACTACGGGGCTGTGGATTTAATTCCACGTACTTTCAAATAAGAGAACGTCGCCATTAAAAATGAAAAGAACATACAGTTAGAAATTTAAGTGCATTCTTGACTATGGAATTTTATTATTACATACATATTATATTCTCTCAGAGTAAAACACTGGTATCTTTCCTTCATGTTTTTCAGAACGTTTTGTTCGCATTGGGAAATTCTTTTCTGTACTATGCAGATCAGTTCAAGTTGTACAGTTCATTTTGTGCTAGTCACTCAAAGGCTCAGAAAGTGCTTCATCCAGGTAAAAAAATTTACTTTTTATATAAATTACCTTTTCTATATAAGTTACAACCTAAATATAAATACCACTAATTCAGAAGTCAAACAACAAAAATCAGCGTTAATTTTCAAAATTTTCACAGGACTAGTTTCGATGGTTTTACCGAACCACCATCCTCAGCTGCAAAACGGCAAATGAACAAGATAGGAAATAATGATTAGATAAGATAAGAAAGCCTGGACAAGAATAAGCAAGTGGCGCCATCTGTTGGTGAAACCAGAACTAAAACATAATTTCTTTAAAGGCCAAAGGTAAAGATGGATTGGAATTAGGTCGTTAACAAGAACAGAAAGATTTTTTTGAATGTGAAATGCTTCTAGAAAATCCAGTTCTCCAATGGAAGATGTTTTTTGAATAATTTTGGCAGCAGAAAAATACTAATTCCAATCCATCTTTTACCTTTGGCCTTTAAAGAAATTATGTTTTAGTTCTGGTTTCACCAACAGATGGCGCCACTTGCTTATTCTTGCCCAGGCTTTCTTATCTTATCTAATTATTATTTCCTATCTTGTTCATTTGCCGTTTTGCACCTGAGGATGATGGTTCGGTAAAATCCTCGAAACTAGTCCTGTGAAAATTTTGAAAATTAACGCTGATTTTTGTTGTTTGACTTCTGAATTAGTACTTATTCGGCGTGTTATTGTGTCTTAAATACCACTACTTAAATTTTTTATAAATCCTGTATGTTCACATTTCGTAAAAGCTATAAATTTTCTGAAAAATATATTTCTTAATGACTTTAGTATTCACTACCATATTCTTATATAGAGAAAAATTCAGAATTAAAACTAAAACGTCAAAATTCTAAGGTTCTGCAATAATATATTAAAACATTTATTTTTTATAACCATCTTTTTACAACAAATATGAAAATAATAGCTGAACTACAGTTTGCTTAACTTCAAGAAAGTTTAAATTTATCATTAATTTCGCCTTTTAATTTTAAATACAAATAAATTGCTTCTCTCTCTTCTTTTACTTTTGCGATGTATTTTAAAAGCATTTTTGATATTTATTGAATGAAACAATTTTTGCTTCAAATGCGCAATGCGTCTCATATTTTTGGATTTAAGAAGTATCTCGGAAATTTTTTGGTACATTATTTTCATGTATTGCTCATGAAAATAGTAGAAAGTTTCTAAATGCTAGAATTTAAACATTATTACTAATTCCTTTCGTATTAAAAATACACGGTATACAGATATTAATAGTTTTGTAGAGACAGTTGAAACTTAGCTGGACAAATCAATACGTATTTTAAAAATATGCTAATAGTAAAAGCTGTTTTAGCAATTATCAAAACTGCAGTGATTAAAGATGACTGAATGTGCTTCCCGGAAACTGCAATAATTGATTGTGGAAAATTTCTGTCGAGTCCATGAAATTCATCTTAAAATTGTATTCTATCTTTAACTAGAAAGGTATTCTATTTATAAAATTATAACTATTTATAAGTTTATATCTAATGCAATTGCTTCTATATGCTATTGAAGTTGGTAATCAGTTTAAACTGTACTTGATGATTAGAATTTCACTACTCAAATATAAAATCGTAGATGAAAGCTTTCGCTTATCCCCAAAAGTTTTACTTTAATTGTTCTGCACTGAAAAATCTGCACTTTGACTAAATTTCCAAAGATTAGATCATTTCATCTTGAAATGCGGTATCACCGTATGCGCTTTATATTCTTTCTTTCTGTTTCGAGGTGGAAATGTCCCATTAAATTCAACGTCTGTAAATGTCGTTCGTATCACACATTCAAAATATTTCGGGAAAACAACTCTTTAGAACAATTTTTCTGCTTTGTCACGCGATAAGAAACAGCCAATCACCGCGGATGGTTTGGGGGGGTTACCATGAAAAGGGAAAACTAGTTCTCCAACACAGATGATGGTTGATGACGAGTGATTCGATACTGATAGATGATTGGGTGTTGAGAACGAATAATTTACAAGTTTTGGGGAAAGAAAGGAAAAACGTTGTGCGTCTTTCTTTCAGGCGTAAAATATATAGAAAAATTGTCTGAAACAGTTGTTCGCCTGAAATAAATAGATGTGTGATACCAGCCTAAGGCCCATATCACACGACGTGTGTTTCACTCGAACAACTGTTTTGGACAATTTTTTTCACTAGTTTACTATTGAAAGAAAGACGTGCGACTTTTTCCTTCCTTTCCAAAAAAATTGCAAGTTGTTCGTTTTCAACCAATCAGCTATCAGCTTGTTTGTAATGGTGAACCAGTTTCCCCTGTGTTAACCCCAAAGCGATCTATGGTGATTGGCTGTTGTGACAAAGCAGAAAAATTGTTCCAAACAGTTGTTCTTCCGAAACAAACCGCCGTGTGATAGCAGCCTAAGACAGCCTCATCTACACTTTCGGAAAATTTTACTTTGCTCAGATACGACTTCGCTTTACGTGTAACTCTGGAATTCTTTGGGGCCCACCAGCGGCCGAGCGGTAAAGTCGCTGAACATTGGTAGTTCGGTCCGAGGTTCGAATCCCGCGAACGGGCTGGCTGCATGGGCGTTTTCGTGGTTTTCCCCATGTGTAACGTGTATACGAGCCAGTTGCCCTTAGAAAGTCCTTCACGAAGGCATCCCTTTCCTTAGGCAGATAGCCCTCGAGGCTTTGCTACAATTACACACACACACACACTGGAATTCTTTGTTTATAAATAGGCGAAATCTTGAAGTCAATAGTAATACCTCATAATATATGCTTGACAATTAGCATTGAAATGCTTAGAATTCAGTATCTTAATGGTACATCTGGAAGTTAGAGTGTAATTTAAAGTTCAAGAAAATTATACACTAATAGTAAAAGTTAGTTATCAGTAGTTATAATACTCAGAAATTCTTCTATAATAAATCTGATAAAGTTCTGAAGATTATTGCTTACTGATAAAAATTATTGCTTACTGCTAAAAATTGCTACTGTTTTAATCGCTCTCAAAATATAACATAACTATTAGAAATAATTGTAAAATGATATCTGAAGTTACGTGATGTAAACACGAGTTTTAGACATTATCATTCGATTTGATTCGTAGGTAGCATACTTAGTGTACTTAATTATAATCTCTAAAGAATACTTCTGCCATAGAATATTAGAGAAATAACGTTATTGGCTATAAAGCGTTGCTTGGTGTAGATATCCTACGATATTTTTCGGATTATTAGTTCAATTTTAAATATTCTAAAAGGCACAATTATTTCTTTGCATTCTTTTAGTTGTTTCTAATGAATATAATAATTTTGACGGTTACTTAACAGGCGAGGGGAACGCGGCTCTCGTGGAATTCTTGCAATCACGTAACCCTCGAGGTCAGCATTCCTTCTCATTGGAGTCCTACCTCATCAAGCCGATACAGCGGATACTCAAATACCCATTGCTTCTGCAACAGCTCAAGCACCTCACGGATCCGACGTCGGAGGAGCATCAACATCTTGCAGGTATGCAACTCTGTCCTGAAATAGCCTTTTACGCGTAATGTGAGTCTTCTAGATATTATTTCAATAAACTACCGTTTCATCTTTGATATTTTTCCAACTGCTGGTGAACGCAAAAACTAAAGAAATCTTTCAGAACGTGAAAAGCTCTGAGGACAAACCCCAGTTTATTTAATCTTAAACCACACTTAGATCACGACTATTGCTTAATGTTTCCTTTCTGCTTTTCATTCAACAATTGTCTGTTGTAGTCTCACTGTTCATCATTGTCGAGTGAATAAGACGGTGATACTGATAGAGTGACCCGGAATCGTAGCCTGCTGGGTGAGCTGGTTGCATGGGCGCTTTCGGGGCTTCCTACACGTGTAATTTGAATATGAGCTGGTTCATCCAGAAATACCGCTAGAAAATTCTCTGCCATGACAGCCCCTTCCCTAGGCAGATGTTCATAGCATACTTTACCTTAATAAAACAATCCAGTTCAATCATAGAGTTTTTTTCGAGCAATTTTATTCCTTGCAGTTGGTTGACAAAGAAATTCAGCTAAGATAAATTCAGTTTTAAAATGTAAATTACTTTTATTCCTCAAAATATAAATACTGGTGTTTAAAAATATCTCTCATGAGATGATTCACTGTTTTAATTTTTTTGGGTGGTGCGGGGGGACGGAAATCGTTGAAACAGAAAAAATGTAGAGGTTGCTTTAAATTTCTAACAATTATTTTAAGTTTAAAAATGCTTTAATGTCTATTTTCGTTTCCCGTGTACTATTCCTTACCAGAATGAGGTTTTAGCGTCGCGTGTTATGCAAGCGAGTTAGAAGTGGTATTTAAGGAAAGTTCAACTAACTTCGAGAGAGAGAGTGCGTAGGAGTGCTTAGTGGCGCTTGTTTGCTTTCTGGCTACTACGCTCGGCCATATTGTACGGCACGTACAAAGGTTAATGTACGAAGGTTGTTGATAATCGACGGCTACCTTAATTTAAGGGCCAACAACGTTAGGTATTTGTGTGTATCTTCGGCTGAGTCTTCTTAATTTAGTTTCTTATTTTCTTATACTGATTTAAAATCCCAAACGGAAACTTTCCTGTAATTCCGAGAAGGAGCCATTTGTTATTATTTCTTTGAGTAAATAAATAATGTTGTATTATATAGACGCTCCTCTGTAACCAGAAACAATGTGCAGCTCCTCAACTTGCATCTATTGCATTAGATAGGCTCTCCTCTGTAACCAGAAGCATTGTGCAGCTCCTCAATTTGCACCTATTGTATTGGATAGACGCACCTCTATAACCAGAAACATTTTGCAGCTTCTCAACTTGCGTATATTGGATTAGATAGGCGCTCCTCTATAACCAGAAATATTGAGCAGCTCCTCAACTTGCACATATTGTATTAGATACACGCTCCTCTATAACCAGAAGCATAGTGCAGCTCCTCAACTTGCGCCTATTGTATTATATAGACGCTCCTCTGTAACCAGAAACAATGTGCAGCTCCTCAACTTGCATCTATTGTATTAGATAGGCTTTCCTCTGTAACCACAAGCATTGTGCAGCTCCTCAACTTGCACCTATTGTATTAGATAGACGCTCCTCTATAACCAGAAGAAGTGTAATAACCATTGTGCAGCTCCTCAATTGCGCCTATTGTATTATATAGACGCTCCTCTGTAACCAGAAACAATGTGCAGCTCCTCAACTTGCATCTATTGTATTAGATAGGCTTTCCTCTGTAACCACAAGCATTGTGCAGCTCCTCAACTTGCACCTATTGTATTAGATAGACGCTCCTCTATAACCAGAAATATACTGCAGCTCCTCAACGTGCGCCCAATGTATTAGATAGACGCTCCTCTATAACCAGAAGCATTGTGCAGCTCCTCAACTTGCACCTATTGCATCAGATAGACGCTCCTCTATAACCAGAAATATAATGCAGCTCCTCAACTTTCACCTATTGTATTAGGTAGGCGCTCCTCTATAACCAGAAATATTCTGCAGCTCCTCAACTTGCACCTATTGTATTAGATAGGCTATCCTACCCTTCTCGAGACTGTAGTAACTACTTGAACTCAGCGATAATTCGCTACTTCACTCACTAGGTTCAGCCACATAATTTCATATTTTTGAACATAAACCCTAATTTTGAATTAAAATAACTTATATTCATCTTTCTCAAATGCGCTACTGTTAAGTTGTTTCTCTAGTATGAGGAGTGTTATTGAGTGTTATTTTTAGGAGAATTAATCCTCAAACAGGAATCTATTTCTAAATTCACTGTGTCTGAAGAAAATATAAGCATGCAACATAAATCTTCATGAGATCCAAATTCTTATTCTTTAAAAACATCATCGACCTGCACCATGCATTCCTTTCCTAAGGTAGCCTTAAATTCTTACTTCATATATTATACCATTTTTGTAAATAACCCCTTTATTTTCCTTTTTTGCTTCTGTATCCTATAATTTATAATATTTTGTTATAAATATTATATAACTTATTATTTCTTGCATTATAAATCGTAGCAACATAATTTTACTCTATGTTCGTAGAAATAAATTTACACGGAATAAGTGGGAAGGCAGACCTTGGAATTTCTTTAGTTTTTCAAAGTACATTGTCTAAAATGTTACCAAGTTACGTTTCTAATACATTTGTTTGCCCATAAAGCCGTCAGGAATTATATTCCATACCTTTGAAGAATACAAAGAACTACACTTCTCTGTAAGTTACGAAATGTCAATGCAGAATAGATGCATCCTCTAAAATGAAGTGAAATGGTTTACTTGAGCTGTACAAAAAAGAAAATAAGATATTTTTGACTATTGGTCATAAACTAAATTATTAGTATTATTCCACTAACAAGTAATTGCGTTCTCGGAAATGTTAATTTTTATTATCAAAAGTTCTAACGCAGTTCAAACTTTTTAAATCAGAAAACCTGGTTTTAAAAAGAAAGTGTACATTTTATTGTGTTTTATTTTTTTAATATGGTGTACAATTTTCATTTATTGAATATAAAAAAAATCTTCAAACAATGACATGTAAGCAGTTCATTATGCCTTTGTCATAACAAATGAAAGAGATGCATATAAATCACATATATAATTGCATAAATTCACTGAGTTTTTCCGCTTTAAATTAGTGACAATTATATGCTATGTTTTCCTAATTACTAAATTAGTAGACGTTTAGATGGCTTTTGATTGATCATTTATGTTAGTGATTCATACATCAATACTTATCAATCAATACTTAATTCATCAATATTTAATTGATCTGGAGAACTACTCAACGCTCACAAATTTGAATGAGCAAGAAACAGACCGGGGATCGAATCCGAAGGTCATTATCATCTTCAAGGGCATGTAAAACTCGTGCCTTACTGCACTTCTCATTGGTGCTACTAGATGGCGACACAAGCTAATCAACTACATTACGGAAACCACGTAATAGTTATCTCTACCATATAATAAAAGAAAGAGTCTGTCTGCGTGTCTGTGTGTGTGTGTCTTTCGTTCGCGCTTGCGCGTAAGCTAATAAACCCACGACCCACTGCTACAAAATTTGGTACATAGGTGCATCTAGACAAGAGCCAGTGCACCTCGAAGCGATTTTTTCGAAATTCGAATTCGAATTTTTTTTATTTTATGTTTTGTGACGAAATCGCGTTATTTTGAGACATAATGGGCTATAGGAAAGCGAGATTTTACTCTACACACTCCATTTTCACATCGTCATGAAACGTAGGCACTTAGCTATTTTACGAACTTAAAATAAATTTCGTGTTTCAATAAATCGATTAAATACGAATTTATTTAACAAAGGAGCTTTAACACCTTTTCAACGGGATTTTTTCTAAAAAGTTTATTTTGAAAAATGTACAGTTTTATTTTTCTTGATTTTTGGACACGTTAAACTTTCATCCTTGCGACTGCTTTTACAAAAAGAATTTTGAAAAATGATAATATTTGTATTTTAAATTTTTTTTTAAATGAAGCTTCCGAGTACATTCTCACATCTCACATCTTTAAAAATGTGATTTTGGCAACAATTTTCCTGTCTTATTGTTGTTGATAGATTTTTGATGAAATCGCATCATTTTGAATAGTTTTCATTCTTTTAGAAATATGGGTTTGGCAATTTTTCATCGTATTTCTTATGTCACTGTTTTTAAGAGATTGGCATATTTCATTGTCATTTTTATATATATATAATACATTTTTATTGATTTTTTTTGATAAAGTTGTTCTGCAGAGTAAAATTCTGCGCGGAATTTTTGTTTTTTGAGTTTTTTTTTATGCTATTTTTTGCTTTTTCACTGTTTTAAGATATTGAAAAGTTTTGCATGATTTTTTTCTTAACGGAAGTGGTTAAATTATTTTTTATATGTAATACATTTTTTTTTTTAATTTGTGGTTTTTTTTTCCGAAGTTTTCTGCAGGGTAAAATTCTGCTCAGTTTTTAAATTTAACGTTTGGTGTTCCCTTCAGGCATTTTTACGGTACATTTAAAAGCCAGACGAAGGCTGGCAGCGTAGCTACTAGTAATACTAATAAAGCATTCAACAGATGATTCTATAAAAATCGTTGATAACAATATACTATGATATATAATTTTTTTGTATTGTCTTTAAATAAATATGGAATATATTCAGTTTGAATCAAATAAGTGACTTTATGTGTTAATTACTCAGAGGCTCTAAAAGGAATGGAACGGGTCGCTGAACATATAAATGAAATGCAAAGAATTCACGAAGAATACGGAGCAATCTTTGATCATTTACATCGACAACATCTAAAATCATCTAAACAGGTAATTTTATATTTCTATTCCCATTACTGTTAGAATGAGTGAAATTACAAGAAGACTGACATTTGTTTCGTCCATTATAACTATAACTATATTCCTTTAATTTAAAATTTTCTCTTGTGATTTTCACAGTTTGCATTATATATGTGCATATTATTATTGTTATTTCTTTTACTGTAAATCTTTTACATTACAAATAATGTTAAACACGATTAACGGCCCTGCAACCGAAATGAAAAATGTCTAATATATATAATTTTTTTTATTTCTAATAAATTAATACATTCTTAATATTTATAACACTGATGGCATTTTTAGTATTCCTTGAATTTTAGAATTATTCCCACAATAATCTACGGGAAATAGCGATTTGCGTAGAGGAAGATCTGCATAACGAATATCGCCTTCGAACAAACTGTGTTTTACAAGACACTACTGGAACTTCTTTTATTAAATTAATTTCTGTTTGTCATAATCAATTAAAGGCTTCAATTTTCATCCAAAGAATTCCATTTAATGGTTATAAAATCGCCAGGCTTAAAGTTCTGCAAATTTATTTTCATTTAAATGCTTTTCCAACTTTCCTTTCTCTTATTTATAAAAATATTTCAACTCTTGAAAATATGTAAACTTAACTCTTTAGCTCATTCAGTTAAATTTAAAACTTTTTACACTATTTTGCAGAAGTGAAAACAATTAGCTTTCTGAAGATTATAAACACGTTTCTTACCTAACATTTGTTTCAGAAATCTATGTGAATAGAATGTTCTAACAGAATTTTCCTGAACTAGAAATTTCTGTTTCCTTATTTGTAATTCCTCTTGTAAATTAACTGAACTTATAGGCAAAACCCTTCTCCCGAATTTGCAGTTTTAGTTCTTTTTTTTTTTAATTGAACGTTGATTTGTTCAACGTGGAATTCTTGATCCATTATTTAAAACTTATTTTTTTTTCTTTCAGCACGTAGATCTCAGCCCAGGCGAATTACTGTTCTACGCTGGCGTAGAATGGCTCAATATTTCAGAATTTTTAGGAAAAATCAAAAAAGGTTTAGAATTATATGCAATGTGCTTCGTTTTTAAGACAGCTGTTGTATTCCTTTGCAAAGAAAAGATACGGCAGAAGAAAAAATTAATGGTAAGTCGATCTTGTCTTCTTTTATTATATTGTTTTGGTTTTATTAGATTACGGGAAAGCACTCGAGGGCTATTTGCCTTAAGGAAGGGATACCTTCGTGGAGGACTTTATAAGGAAAACTAGCTCGTATAAACGTTACACATGGGGAAAACCACGAAAACGCCCATGCAGACAGCCCATTCGCGGGATTTGAATCTCGGACCAAACTACCAGTGTTCAGCGGCGTTACCGCTTGGCCGATGGCTCTTCTTTTATTAGAAGAATTAGGATTACATATTAATTGTGAGATAATATTACGTATAGTTCTCATTAATTTTATATTTGGCATCACCCATGAAGCCATGAAAATATTTGCTTATTTTTAAAAAAACAATGAATAGGAAGTTTTTCTATGTTTTTCTTTATTTTATTTTTTTTTATTATTATTATTTTTAAAGCTTGTAGAAAATTGTAGTGGTCTAAACAGAATTATAAATGATCACAAGTTTTCCAAATTTAATAGAACGCAGCATTTATCGATACGGCAATTACTAAAAATGACTTCTGAAACAGAACAATCTGGCACTTTCCCTTGAAAGTGCCCATATTTATGGTTTATGACAAGATAGAACATAAAAGAAATAAAAGTACTATTCCGTTTTGAGGATCGTAAAAAAATTGCAGCGAAAATGTACGCGCAAAAGCGCCAAATCTAGCAAACGCGCCCATTTAACAGCGCGCCAAATCTAGCGTACGCGCTGATTCAGATTGTGTAAGTTATATAGTTCTATATTTCATTAGACACTATTGAAATACTAGTTAATTTTTAAATCCTTTTTTGATTTTAATCCTTTTTTTTTTTTTTTTTTTTTTTTTTTTTTTTTTATATCCTATGGATTAACATTGGGAATTGCCATGACGAAAAGTCTGCAATAGAATATGGTAAAGTGCAGAATCACTCACTGCTTCACGCGTTTTTTAAGAATTGCACATACTCGGTATCCATGTACACTGTAGAGCGGTAAAGGTGGCTGAACACTTGTAGCTCGCTCTGGTTTGAATCCCGGCTAAAGGGTTGGATTCATGGTTTTTGGGTAACGTAAATACAAGCCAGCTTCCCTTAGAAAGTCCTCCGCGAAGCCATACCTCCTCTTATACAGGTAATTGTTATGTGCTTTGATGTAATTCAGTAAGCGAACAAAATTCATCCAATCCAAACACCGATAGAATTCCTACTTGGAGGTGACTTTCTTGAAACTGGAAATTACGTGTATAAAAGTTAAGTGATATTATTTTACTGAAATCTAAAGCATAAAGCGTTATTTCTTTTAGCTACTTTCTAAGTGTTTGCTTTCTTTATTGAATCATATAACATTTAAATGTATACCTTCAGAGTTACGCTTTCATACTAATACTTTTGGTTATCCACCTACAGAGAGTGTTTATGTAATTTGAAAATTAGAAGTGATACAATAAATTCGAATTTAAAGGAAAGGAAAACTGCTTAGCAATTTTATAAAATCTTTGGAAGGTATAATTTTATTCTTTATAGGATTGCAATGTTAAAATAATTTGTAAGTTATTGATTAGTTTTTCGGCTCAATAACTTAACCTTTAACTGCATGCCCGAGATATAATCTCGGGCACAGCACAGGTGTTCGAAATGTCACGCCCGATATTACTCGGGGTAATTTTTTTGAGTGCATCGCATTGTTATACCAAATATATCTCGGGAGACGTTTATTTCGGCTTCATCTCTTTGTAAAAACCCGACTGTATTCGGGAAAGTTAATGTGCGCTCAATTCAATAGATGACAACACTTTACTGAAGATTCAAAGGTTAGAGTTATAAGTTCTTTGGTTCAAGATTGTTTCGAATTACAGTCTAATATGGGTGGTGTAGATCGCTGTGACAGGAAAATCCTTTCATCCACAATCTGAAACATCAGAAAAATATAGAAAAGATACTTACATTTGCTAGACAAATAGTCTAGAACTCATATTTGCTCTATAAAAATGTAGTGGAACGTATTACATTTTGATTTCGAATCCAAGTTGTAGAAGAGCTTTTACATAAATATGATGACGAAGCTTCTGGACAAAAGAATGTGGCAAACCACCTACAATAGATAACCCTGCCGTGTTACTGAATGGCATTTTATATCCCATATTCTCCTACTCCTGCGAAACGTGCGCCTACAAGACAGTGCAAGTGTGTTGTTCGAAAAAGTTAAAAATGGGAAAAGATAAGAAGGAACACGATTCGGTTTAGTGATTGTGGAGTGGTTTGTGTTTGGAAAAGTGTTTCCAGTTATACACACAAGACTGAATTACTGAACTACTAATAGGTATTCACTTATATTTATTTATTTTTTAAAAATAATTCATTTTTTTCATTTTTAGAAATAATGCTCACTAGAAGCGAATTTACAACTGCCATGTTGAGTGGCAGCTGCCTCAAGCAAATATGCAGTAGCTACAAACTTAAAAATTTTACCCATGTACTTCAAATCACTTTGAACTACTTAAGATATTTTATTTTGTACTAAACCTTTGATTTTTCAATAAAAAATTTGAAATACTAGTTTATTTTTAAATCCTTTTATATAGTATATATATATATCCTATGCATTTAACAATTTGGGAATTGCCCGTGACGAAAAGTCTGGAATAAATTTTAGGTAAAATGCAGAATCACCCACCGCTTGACGCGTTTTTAAGAATGCACATACTCGGTATCCATTACACATCGACTATTTTCACTAAAAAGTAAAGAATGACAAAATCCAATTGTTTTTACCCTCGTAAAAGCGGCAACAAATAAGTGGGCGATTCTGCACTTTACCGCGAATTTTTTTCAAAGAAAAGGCATTATTATTATAGAAAATTATGTTGAACAAACCAACGAGAGGAAACTATGCTTTAGCAATATAGCTCGGTAGCGAAATAGCGATCAGGCATCCATTCAGTTATGTTTAGAATTTTTTACATAAACTATAATATGATCTGAATAATATTTATTTACTCTTATGCTTCCATTCAGTCATGTTTAGCCTTTTTTATATAATTATAATAATAAAAAAGTATAGATTACATTTCATCTAAATTAAAACATCAATCTTAGATAGTTCTTTACTATTATACTTCCCTTCTTGCGTTAGGGTTGCCACAATTATATTTGGCAGTAGTATGGCGATTTTTTACGGCCCTCAAAACCGAATAGTACCGAAATAAATATTGTTTCCTGATTTTATCTTGATCTTGTGGGATAAATAATTAAGTCCATACTCGTTATAATGATTGCTCATTGCGACCGTACATTACGACTACAAATCGTTCTTTTTCTTTAAATGCAAATGCTCTTTGTAAGAAATATCACTTTTTGTTTAAGGTATCTGCCTACGTTCGGAGCACTTTTTTTTTTAAACATAGAATTCGATGAAAATATTTATTAGTCAAAATATGAATATCAAATCATGAAAATAGGTAAATTTTTAGGAATTTTTCATAAATTTTTTAAATATATGCAATTTTATGCACATTTTTAGGAGAATTTAACACTTACGTTAAATGTCGTTATTTTTTCCACAGCATATATTTCAATTTTATTTTATGTATAGTACTACAACATCATCTGTGTTATGAAGTAAAATGTTTATGATATTTCTAAAATTTACTAAAATATGTGTAATTACATGAAAAAAGACAGTTTTGTAAAATATTTCTATCGTTTTAATAGAAATACTATAAACAAATCAATCAATAAATATAACTTAGATGTAGCTTAAAACCTAGTAATAACATAGAAAAACACTTAGTGAAATTAATAGATACCTTTAGAATTTAAGTAATTAATTCTTGTATGTAAAACACTAGAAAATTAGTTTCCAGAAAACGCATTTAAAGATTTACATTAACAAAAAAATGTTCTGTTGTATTTACACACTTAAATCTCCACATTTGTACATCACACCTCCATATCTTTATACTTGAGTATTTTGATTCCTATTTGATTTAATTTTTTTCTGGCTATGTCGAAATGAGCGACGAAAGACGTTTCGAGTTCTTTTTCTTTCGTTTTCATTCCAGTAATTTTTAATCATTTCTTGTTCAATGATATGCCTAAATGTTCAAAACAGGAAGTAATCCAAGATACCTTGAATTAGAAATTAAAACTGCTATATATGCACCCAGCAACATAGTCTTTATACCTAATCGCAATGTGCCGACCCAGTTCAAAAACCGGAAGTTGCCAGTCAGTTAAAAATTAAGGCAAATAATTATTGCCAGAACAAAAAAATACCCGAATTAAAATGAAATGTTTTAGCACAATTTTACACACAAAACGTAAAAAAAAAAAAAAAAAAAACATGGATACAACATTGTTTACCTTTAAGTGAGCTTTTAAATGTCACTCCGGTCTTTCTGCTTTCACTTCCAGTGCAGTTAATTGGCTATACCTTTTCTTCTAATTATCACAAACGTAAAAATGAACCATTTTCGGAATCCTACAAAACTGACCTTTCAAACTGGGCAATTAAAAAAATCGAATTTTTTCGCCGAAATCGTTTTTTTAACGTAGGCAGATACCTTAATATTTTATTACTGTACATCAGACAATGCACAAATTTACTTATTATAGATCACACCCTCCTTTTTTAAGCCCAAATGGACGGTATCTCTTGGCTATTAGTCTCAAAACGGCATTTTGTGGCCTTTCACTATAAACGGTAAATCACTTGTTCAATATAAACGGTGAATGATGCTACCAAATATTATCACCCTATATTATATTTAAATAAGTTGAATAATGAAGAATCTGCATGAATGTATGGTTGTTTCGAGCATTGTGAAAAAAACGACGTACCTAGAGCCATCAAATTTTGAATAACGTAGTCCTCCATCTGAATATGGGCATCTGGAAGCCCGAATTTTGAATTTCAAATTTTTTATTACCTGTTTCATATTCTGTAAAACTTTGACGCATTTTTCATTAAGAAACTCAGCGACTTCAAAGAGAGCAGCAATTAAGTAAGAACTTTAGCATACTAGAGATTAAGGGGACTCATACACCTTAAAACCCATACGATGTTCTAATAGGTGACTGTCGCAAGAATTGGAATAACTTATTTATTTTAAAAGCAATTACTACCAACTTTTTACAGCTGACTACATAATAAGCTGCTTTCTTAAATAGTCATCAGAAAGTTTGTTTGCCAACAAATATTTTATAATTTAATTCGCTTTGTGACAACATTTTTCGTCATGTTTCCACCTTGCGCGCACGTTTAAATATCTGTTTCATAATTTATTCATATTAACATATAGCTTTTATAACATTTGAAAACTACTGTGAACCTAAAATTCTAAAAATTTCATGTTCAATTTTTATTTATTTGGTGTTGAGTTTATAAAATGTATTTTATAAAAAAATTGTAATGTTCCGTCCATAAAATTTTTCAATACCAAAATATTCATCAATGTTGGTTCAGTTAGAAAATACTGCCCATATAAAGAATACATCAATTTCAAGTATGTACATTAGCCATTTTTAAAATAACATGCGCGCAAGATAGAAGCATGGCGAAATATTTTGTCACAAAGAGGATTAATTACAAAATTATTTGTGGCAGCACAAACTTTTGGTTACTAGTTTCCAAAGCACTAATTATGTAGTCAGCTGTAAAAAGTTGGAAGTAATTGCTTTTAAAATAAATAAAATATCTCAATTCCTGCAACAGTCACATATTCGAAGATCATGAGGGGGTTTAAGGTGTATGAGTCCCCTTAAACTTGTCATTTAGCGGAAAAGATAAATTCCAATTTTTTTTTTTCTTCTAGGGAAGTTCCAGTAAAAACAGCACATCCGAAGTTGAAATAATTCGCTATCAAGTGTTGATACCTGTCACGGAAGTGCAAGTGAGATCGAGTACACTGAAGGACGGGGACTCTCTTTTCCTATGGGAGCTCATACACCTAAAATCTCAGCTTCAGAGAAGATCTGAGAAGGTGTACCAGCTTTCAAACAGGTAGTTTGGCTTCGCATTATAATAATAATGGCTTTAACTTCAAATCAAATTTAAACCGTGAAACACGTTAATGTCAAATTCAATCCAGAATCGCTGTTTTTAATATCTGTAAAAATATAAATTTGTTAAATAGAGTAACAGCCATCAAAATCTTTGAAAATATGATTATTAGACATCCATCTTCAGTTTCTTGAGAATCTAATACATTGTGAAATTTATTTAAATCTGGTGAAAACAAATTTTGCTAACATTCTCGCTGTCAGTTTGTAGAGTCGTTAGGTTAATTGGAAGCAGAAAAGATGAAAAATGTGCAACCGCCTTCGCCGGGAATCGAACCACGGACCTCTGGAATACCGGCCCAGCGTGCTACCGTTACACCACGAAGGCACGCTAGGGAAGTGGGAGAAATACCTTATATACTTCCCTTTTTAAAGGGCGACTAGGGTTTTAGGGGACTTAGTCGCCAAATCCTGGGTGCGGGGAATCATCATCCCACAACCCTTTTAGTCGGGCGCCACTTGTAGAGTCATTAGGTTTAATTGGAAGCAGAAAAGATGAAAAATATGGGCAACCGCCTTCGCCGGGAATCGAACCCGGACCACTGGATTACCGGCCCAGCGTGCTACCGTTACACTACGAAGGCACGCTAGGGAAGTGGGAGAAATACCTTATAAGTTAATTTGTAAAATTTAATGATGCGCTACAGAAGTTCGCCGTATTAAAAGTAAATTCGACTTAATACATAACGATCGTTGAAATTTCTTTACGAAATTTCTGTATAAAAATTAATCCATATTACTTTAAGAAAGTAGATTTTAAGGGTATGCTTCCACAAAAAGATGATTTGTCTAAGCGACTTTACTAAAAATTCCTTCAGTAAGATAATAAAATGATGCTAAAATTTTGGTAAAGATATCATCGCATGCATAAAATAAAAAAGTTCTTGTTTGCTTGTTCATAGCATAAAGAATTAGATTTAGTATTCTGGCTAATGTTCACTCTGCCACATGTGCAGGAGTTTTAGAGCATTAACACAACATGTAATAAAATATTTCTTCATGAATATCATTTCCATATGCAATATAAAATTAAAGCAACTGAAAGATAAAGTTAGTTCAAATAATTCTAAACTGTCAAAAGTTTAACTTTATTCTTCACAGAGCTCAGTGCATCTTATTTGCAGGCAGTTATCACTGGTCAGCTTATCTTTAGCAATCATAAATTAATTAGTTTTACGAGTGTTGAAAGTTTTATCAATTTCAGTTTTAGATTCAGTTCCCTTACCTATAGATAAAATAAATATGAAAAGAAATATACCAATGTTTAATTTAAAATTAGGCAAACAAGCAGCCTCAATTGGCGAGGTATTCAAAATCTAGGTCAAGTAAAGTTGCTTTTTTTTCTTTAACCTATTTTAAATAGAATTTTAGTTTAATATCGATAGGTACAGCACATCATTTAACTTCTGGTAATGAATTCATGTTGAAACTACGAACCAACACAGAGAAACAATAAAAAAGCCTGCAACGTATTTCGTCTTTAAAGGCAGCTAGAATAATTCGTATGGTCTTGTTTTGAATTTAAAATATGTAATTTCCATGAAATTCAGAGAACATTAGGAGAAAATGAAGAAGAAAAAGAATAACAATGGATAGCTTTAACCTACTCCACAACATGACTTAGTTTAAAAAGATTTTCTAATTTCATATACGGAAGAATAGCATGTTTGATAAAAGGCACTCATATTCAGCCAAGAAAAAGCAAATGCTTATCATTATAACACTCCTTTAACTATAAAATGTTATACCAAGTCCAATGAATTTTCATGTTTTTTTAAAATAAATCTCTTTGTCTTAAAGGTACAGTAATATAAAATAAGGAAACCATTCAATTCTTTCCTTGAGAAAAGGGAATTTAATATTCAGTGTAAATGTAATAGAAAGTAATTAAGTGTAGTTATATTCAAATTTATTTGTTTAGAGCCTTCGGAAAACAAAATGAAAGAGAATGATCGCATGGATACACAAAAGATTGAGAGCGCATTTTTCTGACGTAAATCCGTCACAGCCATCTATTGTCTCATAATCGGGCATTGTGTAGCCTTTACAAACACGCACAACAAACGTTGTCTGATCGACTCGAACGAGGCTTCGTTCGAACAGTGATTTAGCTCAGTACAGCCAACATCATAACGCTGTAGTCGTTTTTTACTGTTTGTAAAAGAGCCTCGAATTTACCATCAGTGTATATCTGTGAGGCATTGGTAGCGAATGTTGTAGTCTTGTTGTGCATATTACTTACTTTGAAAGTGTTGAAAGCGGATATCTTGTGTATATTACTTATTTTCGGATAAATACACATAAATAAAATGGATAGATTTCTCAAACTGAAGCGTGATATTGAAGAATTCGATTCTGGAAGTGAACTAAAGTTAAGTGGAAGACAGAAAACAAAATTGTGGCCTACTTGCAAATAAATCATGAAAGTTATTTAAGCTTTGGGCTTCACTTAAACAGGAAGTGCAAATCATCCATGGCCGCTATGTTTAGTATATGAATGTAAGCTTTGGGCTTCACTTAAACAGGAAGTGCAATCATCCATGGCCGCTATGTTTAGTATATGAATGTAAGCTTTGGGCTTCACTTAAACAGGAAGTGCAAATCATCCATGGCCGCTATGTTTAGTATATGAATGTAAGCTTTGGGCTTCACTTACTTAAAAGGAGGCCAATCCATGGCGCTAGTTTAGTATATGAATGTAGCTTTGGATTCACTTAAACAGGAAGTGCAAATCATCCATCCGCTATGTTGTATAGGAAGTTTGAGCTTTAAACAGAGTGCAAATCATCCATGGCCGCTATGTTTAGTATATGAATGTAAAATGGTAAATTAATCATTACTTCTCAGTAAAGTGAGTAAACATTTTAAATCTATGCATTCTAATTTAGGAGATAAATTTATAAGATTTCAAGAGCTTGTCTAAAGAGCAACCAAAAGAGGTAAATCCTTAATTAAAATGACTGTTTCTAATAAAGCTCAAATTGCTTCTTATCAAGTCTCAGAACTGATAGCTCACAAATGTGAAAGCTCATACTTCAGGTGAGAAGAAATAAAGTAATAATGAAGAGAAGCCAGATTCCTCTGTCCAACAATGTAGTTCACACGTGTGTTATGGAAATGCCTTCTAATATCGAGAAAAGGGTATGCAGTAATAAACTTCAGTATTCAAATTTTGCACCGTAAGTTGTTGAGTTGTTGAGTTGGTAGACATTACCAACAAGGTGCAGCTCTTAGCATTCGTATGTTTCATTAATGAAGATCAAATAGTAAATCAGTTAATCTTTTGCAAAAACTTATGAGTATCTATAAGAGGTTTGGACGTTTTTGACATTTTGAAATACTATCTTGATAAATGGCAGTAACATGGAAGTCGTGTGTTAGTATTTATACAGATGGAGTCTTTATGGTAAGCTGTGTTAAAAAGACCTTACATCTTCTGTATAAAAAAGAAGAATACTGTCGTAACTTATTGATTTCTTTATAGGGAGTCCTTGATGGTAAAAACATCGAGAGAAAAATTGAGAGAAGTTTAAATCAAATTGTTCAGATGGTAAACCTTATTAAAATAAGACTGTCAAGATCGTGTTTAATCGAAAAGTTTTGTACCGATATGGATTCACAATACAGACGACTGCTTTTATACACTGAGGTGAGGTGGCTGTCAAGAGGGAAAGTACTTAACGCGTGTACACGAGCTACTTCCGTTTTTTGAAGAGATGAAACAATTAAATTTCTGTAACTTTTTTCGGTGCGAATTTTGGATCGCCATGTTACAGTATTTGACCGATATATTTCAGCAGCTCAATATTTTGAATACTAGCATGCAACGGAAAGAAGAAAATATTCTCATAACCACCGATAAAATTAAAGCGTTTAGAAAACTAGAAGTTTGAAAAGGAAAAGTTATTAATAGTAATTTGGAACTGTTTCCATCAGTAAGTAATACTTGCATATAACACTTTCAGTAATAGTTAACATTTAAGAATTTAGGGGGGGGAAATGAGTTCTTAATACCCGTCACTTAACGCTGAACATTAGGACTGGATTAGAAACCAATTCGGGGTCAAACCAAACTTCAAGTGGTTTAGGTTTAACATTAACAGAAGAAGAACTGGCAGCTATACCGATTGATCATGGATTGACGATTAAAACATAAGAAATTGTATCTTGAAGTCTTTTGAATTTCTATAAAAGAAGAATATCAATATGGAAAACAGTTTTGAATATTTTACTACAGATTCCAATATCATACTTCTGTGAATTAGGATTTTCTACCCTCCCCACAATTAAGTATATGAAAAGAGGAATTCTTCAACGTATTGTCGAGAAAATCGATAAAACGTAAGTTTGTCTTTGAAATATATGCTCAGACATTTAACAGAAGGCTAGGTAACATTTGACTCATGTATAAATTTAAGGTATATTTCGTTTTATTTTTAACTTATTGTTGCGTGCGTACGGGTTCGTTTGGAATTGAATGCACAAATCCAATGAAACATGAATAAGATTATTATTATCACAAATAAATAAAACACAATACTTCAATTTTCTCATATATTCGTATAGTATTACAATATCTCACAGTAGTTATCTTTTAACTACTCAAACGTTCAACACAGCTTAATTCAAACCAGCTACAGAAAGCTAATCCGCGAATTCGCTACAGTCAACCAGAGCAGTTTTCTAAACAAACTCTTAAAGCAGCAATAAACAAACTAACATCACAACGAACTGAGAGGTTTTTCCTCCTTTTATAAGATTTTAAATCGCGTGCGAGAATTTTCTGGAACTTTCTCGAGATCAAAAAGAGATATTTATTTATTAAATGTTAAATGCACGTGCTCTTGTATTTTTAATTTTCCGGCTTATCTTTCCTTTATTCGTCACTCGCTACACTGCACGGGGAATAAAACAATTTTATTTATAATTCTACTAACATTAGCTATTTAAATACCAAATCCGTAACAATATTATTCTTTTTTCTTCAATATTTGACTTAATTATTAAAACATAATTCCCAAAAATATGTATGTAATGCTCCTAGAACTACTTTGTAGAATTTTAAATGTTTTCCAACATTCAAACAGTTGGAAAAACTCTGTACTAAAATATCACGGGGGGTGGAGATTATCCTCTAAGGTAAGTCTGTATAATATATTTAGAATTGCACAAAAATTTGAGTTCGTTGTATAATTAATACGTAAAAGCTTTTTTTAAAAAAATATACTGTGTGGTATGCTATGGCTGAATGTAAAAAAAAATATAAATATGAATATTCTTCAAGTTGACAATTCAGCATAATACTCACTGATCTCTTGAAATACTGATGCTTCTAATCAAAATATTAAAATCTTTAAATTGCTTATATTATTATGAAAATATTTTAAAATCATCAAATTTATTTTCTTTTCAGTGCGGCCGAGCTTAGGAACTCTTTCCTGCGAACAATACGACAGATTATCCGGGAAAGCGTCCGGAACATGACAGTTCCTGCCACGAAATCTAGCGGAGCTCGAGAGAAGTCCCCTCATTCTAAGAAAGTAGATGGTCAGAGTATGACAAGGACACTGAGTACTAAGAAGAGATCAGCTCGACATTCACAGAGGCATTCCGCGGGTCATTTTGACCGAGATTATACAACGGAGACTTATGACAATGTTGATCCCAACTTCCGGACTCGAAGTCGAACCGTAGCAGATGGTATGGACGACATGAGTAGCTCAGTCAGGGATCTTAGAGATTCGCGTGGACATTCGCCCTCGACATTAGATTCCGAAAAATCCGAGAGATCGGACAGATCGGACAAATCAGATAAGTCGGACAAATCCGAAAAATCTGACAAATCCCACGATGGCAGCAGTAGCGGTGGCAGTGGTAAACTCAAACCTGGGAACTTAGGAACTCCCAGAGCTCTGAGTCTCAGCGCGACATCATCGCTGTCCAATTCCAGTATGGGCAGTTCCTCCGCTAAGCTCATTCAATCGAGCAACCCGCCGTCAAATTACCACCCACAGACGGTGCAAGCAAGTTCCCCTATATGGAAGCCGCGCGAGAACTCGTTCGACAAAGCTTCGACGCTCCCAGCTAGCTATAAAGGTAAAGATTCGGAGACCAAGCAATACTTTGTGTACGACGAATACGGGGCTCCGTTGTATGTCATCCCACCGACTGTTCCGAAAAAGGATCAACCACCAGCCAGCATGTCGAGCAAACAATCGGACTGCTAGCACAGGAATCGTTAGTGCCAGAGTTGCCTTGTCACAAGTACGGGAGATTTAGGTAATATTTTTCAAAAGGAGATGTGTTTTAGTCTCTTACAAATATTTGGTGCTGTAACTAAAAAACCCCAAAGTCTTATATGGACCTCGTGTGTCAATTGTTTTCGTAAATGCGCACTGGAAGAAATCGGGATCCCTACTTCTTCAAGAGGGTGCCGTGTTCCTGAGGTTTTTAAATATCGCTCAGAGAGTATCTTCGCGGAATATTTTTAAAACGGAGTCGTTGATCCAAAGCGGCCTCCGCGAGGAAAAGGAAGAGATTTTGTTTATCACTGCATTTATTCAACCATATCGCTCCTGTCTGTTCTCAGTCATATTTGTGAACTGTTTATGAAATTTAGTCCAGTAACTTTGTATTGCTGTACCTGACGTTGGTCAAAGAGAGAACTACTTGAGCACTAAAAACATCTCTATATTCCTCGGTCCTCGAGACGTCATTGATACTACTTTTGTCTCCATATCATAGAGGTCGTAAAGGATTCAATTATTATTATTATTAGAATGTATGACACGGGCAGTTGGTTCATAGATAAGAAAAAAAAATAGATTTAAAGATATTCCTCTCTTTTGCATGAGTATTTGTTTATAGTAGATAGTGCTTGGTCTTAGTCCTTTTCACAATGTGTACAGTAGACCTATATAATTAAATTTGTCCTTTTGTCGCTATACAGGCCACAGCTCAAGAGTAAAATGTTTGTATCAGTGTTTTTCAAGCAAAGTACTGCGGAAAGCTGCTGTGCCTTGTCTATTGTTAGAAATGTTGATGAGTCATAAAGAATCTCCCGCAGAGATCGAAACGATTCTATAACTTTAGAATTTGTAAATTCATTCTCACAACATAGAGAAGAAATAAAAAGTATTTATTAATTTGTAAAATAATTGAAGCTAGATTTTAAGAAAAGACTGTCCTTGTCTTCATTACAGTTTCTCTTGAAATACAATCATTTAATCACTATTCTGTTTCTTTCTAATAAAATGGAAAATATGCAGGAATAATATTACATAAAAATCAGTGCCAAAGTGAGTTTTTTAGAAGTCAACCTATTCCGAAAGCCACCGCTTAAGTGAAGTTTCAGATACAATGGTGGAATTTTCAAATACACGCGTTTGTTATTGGCCTGTTTTAGAATTATCGCCAAAGGAAAGCGATATCCAGATCTGCAAACGTGATTATTTTTTCATGTGTGAACGAATTCCCTTTCGGCAATACTTTGGCTCCAAATAAATTAGTGTTTCGAATCCTATCTGAAAGAAACACGAGCAAAAATTTAAAGCAAATCGAGGTCTGTTTCCGCAGAGAGTGATTTTTGGTATGTTTCGAATTTTTCATCCACGTTCAAGCATACATAGATTGAATGCCTTCTCCTATTATTAGCAATCCTCAACAAACAAGTGCTCACAAAACAACTTCCAATCCCTCTCCGCTGCGAGAGAGACAGTAGACTAGCGATCGTCCAAACAGAGGATGGTCATTCGCAGTATCCTAGACAAACCATCTGTTCGGATGGGGGAAAATAATATGTAAATACTTCGATGCCTGTTTGTAAATAACTTAATAACCAATTACAACTAGTCCTAGGTCTCGAATGGACTGATAACGCGTTTCTTGACTGTAACCTGATAAAGGGTAGATTTAGTTTTCAAACTAAAAAAGGCAGCTAAGAATTAAAGTTAACATAAAATATTCGGAATATAGCTCATATATAAATGAACTTCTTTAGGCGAGCAAAAGTAAGTTTTAGTAGATTTTGCTTACAAAAGTACTGCAGTGAATGATATTTGTTTGAAAAGAGAATTGCGCAGCGATATAATTTGCTTACCTTTAACTGTTTGTTTGATTTCTGTTTTCCTTTTAAGTGAGATTTACAATTGCGAACCAGTTCAGTGCTGCGCGGAAAGCATTTTTCTTTTTCTTTTCCTTCATCTCATTTCCACAGGTGCTGCAGGTTGAGCAAAAACCCATACTGCTGCATAATTCCCTAGGAGCCTAGCATGACTCGCAAAACTTACACAAAAGCTTGTGAAAGAAGAAACTATTGGTATTTTAATGTCATTCGTTGTGTGATTTACAGACTTTGCTTATTTTCGTAGTGAATTCCATATCTTATCGCTTGGTTGTGTGATAAACGCTGTATTTGTTGTGTAAAAGTACAAAATTGTAGATATTCTTGTGTGTATGCATACAATGTGTAAATACGTAATCGTATGTATACATACTATGCATACAAATCTCTGTTTGTATATAGTTTCTTTTTTTCCTTCTTTGCTTTCTTGTCAACTTGTGTTTCAAATATATTCAGTGTTGTTGGTTGTTGACACTTTTACAAAATAAAACTTTACAAGATCATAATTTTTATGTTAAAAATGTTCTTAATCTGATGTCAAAAACTAAAATAATACAAATCGTACAAACGCACTAACTGTCCGTAAAATAATTAAACTTTGTATAGTAGCTACAAAAAATATTTTTTAAAGTATAAAGTTTTTCAGATACTGAAACAATTTTCTGAGCTAGTTTAAGTTAAAAATTTCTCTTATCTACAAGTCATGTCAATAAAACGATCTTCACAGGCTAAATAATCTTCACAGAGTTTTCTTTACAGAGCATACCAACCTGTAAATTAGTTTATCTTTAGAAATTACGAGTATTAAGTCAAAGTACATTTTTATTGACTTCAGTCAATAAATTTAATAAAACCTGTTTCATTCAACGACTTGAATCTAGGGATAAGCAATTTACAATGAAACTGTATAAAAGCACTACTTAATAAACTGTACAAAACGTTTACACAGACAGATAACAAAAGAGCATCATTTTTTCGTTTTAAAATTAACTTCTTCAGGAATCAATTTCCAAATTTACCAGAATAAATTAGATGCCACAGTTCCTTTCAATCTAACTCTATTCACTACTAACAACTTTCTCTTAAGCAGTAGGTTTTCGTACAGAATTCGACCATAAACATTTAAATTAAGTAATGATTACCTGTCAAGATGAACATTTGTTTCACACTTACTACTACTATAACTGAAACAGCAACACTGAACAGGTTCTATAACTGAAACAGCAACACAGTTCTACTAAGCTGTTCGCACATTTTTTAGATGATTTTCACTGTATTTGCAGAAATATTTTACCTAAAATATTTGTCTTTTAAATGTTCCATTTGACACACCGTAATTTTCAAGACAACAAAGCCTTTTTTACTATCGAAAGTGGTATTTTATCCCATTCCTCTTGAACAGCTTTACAGTGTCCAAGGAGAGTTACAGGTCGACGTTTGTACAATTCCGCTTTTTAAAAGTCCAAAAGCGCAGACATCCATAGATGATATATTAGGAGATTTAGTACGGATAAGATTGAAAAGTATGGGTTTGATACCCATTTCTTGTTCCATTTTTTCCAAGAAATTAACAGTAGATCTTGACATGCGGTTCCTTGCTTTTTCTTGATGCAGTTCTACTGTTTGATCGCACTGTGGGGAAAGAGGAGGTATTTCATATTTGAAAATTGGCTATAAAATATGTTCCTGATAAAACGTGGAGCTGACATTAACAATTTTCCGCACTCTCATTAATTTTATTTTCGCCGTTATATCAAAAACCAGCAACAATCATAAATCCCTTTGAGAAACTTTCTTTAGATTTATTGAGCTATGTTCTAACATTATTTTTCTTCTCTTTGATGATAATAAATGTATCTCTTTTCATTGTAGTCATATATACGTATATAACTAAAATTCTTCTATTGCAATAACATTTTCCATTTTTGTCGGAATAATTGTTTCTCATAGAGAATTCTGCAGCGCCTTCTGCTTTCGGGGATAGGTCGTGGAGAAAGTCGATGAACACTACTTTTTTTCGCCTTTTTAAGGATTCGAATCAATATTGATCACTTTGTTCAGATTTGCCAGTGAGCATTTTAATGATTATGCAGCTATCATTTGACTTGGCGGATTTTCTTTTAATATTAAAATTGTTATCTTTGGAACCTTCTATACATTTTGCTTTTACCTTAAATATGTATTTTAAAGAATTTTTCTCCTCGATGCCAAACTTTGACTTTTTCCCCCTTTCTTTTTGACAATATTATCTATCATTGTTTTACATACTGAAAAATCATGGTTTTCACAGCATTTTTAATACCCAGATACAAATAACTTTCTTAGGAAAAAGAATAAACAGAAACTTCGGCCACTGCTTCTTTAAAAGCGCCATTTTGCATGAAATAAAATTGTCAAGTAGAAGACGGTAAAAAATTTCAAAGCAGGAGATTTTTTTTAATAGCAAAGCAAAAATCATCTAAAAATTGTGCGACCAGCCTCTGGATTGCAACTGAAATACATGACTGACTTTAAGTCACCAAGGATGAAAAAGGCCAACTAAATCTCTAATATAAATACCTCAAGTAATAAAGTTTTTTAATGCACATTAAGGATCATAATCAAACCATGAAGAAAATGGCACATGCACTGATTGGTGTGTAGAGAGATACTGACTCCTAACAATAACTGAAAGTAAATCTTGTAAAACTTATCTCTACTGTTTTAATATAAACAGTATTCTGAATAGACTGTGTCTATTTTCGAATTCTTACTCACTTTTCTAAACAAAAAAACGAATCCATTTATTTAGCTTACGCACATTAAATTTCAGTTATTAATTTGGAAAATCTCTTGCATTTTGAAGCAAACAATATTTTAACATGAGTATTTCTTTGGGAACAAAACCCAAATGCACTTCCTGGCGTGCCAAGGAAAAGAGAACCGTCCGGCATGAAGGAAAGCTAGAAGCTGCCTATAAAATTGCCTAAAACACCGGTGGATAATAAGACTATCGCTACAGCTATTAGGCAGTCTGAAACTTCACGGTTAAGAGATGCAATAAAGGCTCATACTGAAGCGAGAAAAAAAAGCACAGCATGTGCATCATCATGGAATCCGAAGTGCAAGCAGCTCAACACCAAAGGTTCGCTAAGGAGAAGAACAACAACTACCAGAAAGCAAGTAATAGCGCCATAGTTTCAGGAGGAAACGACCAAGACATCACGAAGTCGCGAAGAATTTATGGAGATCCAAGAGATTACGCGAGCAACCTGGAAGGACGAAATGGAAACGGAAGGATGACTATGATAATGAGCCCAGGCAGCAGCCGAAATGACTTCATTTTTCTAACATGAGATGACTCACTAATAATAAATTTCTGGCACAATATTACATAAGAAAATATCACTGTGTAATACAAAATAAATGAAAATATTCACTTATTTTCTATTCAAATAGGAGCTTCAGTTGGATTTATATATGTATGAGAAATTACTAGTTATAACTTCAGTGGATACCAACCAGATTATTATTTTATAAATTTTTACAGAGATCTAGAAACTTGCAAAAACATTACCTTTTACTTGATTTTTAAAATTTTTAATTCTTTTCCGAGGCTATTAAGGCCTTTCCAAATTATTCAAATTCTGATTTCTGAATTATTCAAATTCTGGTGAGGGCGACTGTAGAGTTTTGCGTTCATTAACCCAATGATTTCATTATTTCAGCATTTA